TAAAATGAATCTTTTTTTAAGGCTGATTGGTTCTATGGTGAACACTTCTACTGAATTTCAATCTGTTTTCCTTCTTTCCTTCCATCCACTCACCCACGCACCCATCCATCCATCCATTCATTTCTCCTCTTATCTCCTTCCATCCATCCATCCATCCATCTCTCCTCTGATCTCCTTCCATCCATCCATCCATCCATCCATCCATCCTTCTCTTCTCTCCTCTTCTTCCATCCATTCATCCTTCTCTTCCCTCATTTCCTTCCTTTCTAAAATGAATCTTTTTTTTAAGGCTGATTGGTTCTGTGGTGAACACTTTTACTGAATTTCAATCTGTTTTCCTTCTTTCCTTCCATCCACTCACCCATGCACCCATCCATCCATCCATTCATCTCTCCTCTTATCTCCTTCCATCCATCCATCCATCCATCCATCCATCCATCCATCCATCTCTCCTCTGATCTCCTTCCATCCATCCATCCATCCATCCATCCATCCATCCATCCATCCATCCATCCTTCTCTTCTCTCATCTTCTTCCATCCATTCATCCTTCTCTTCCCTCATTTCCTTCCTTCCTTTCTAAAATGAATCTTTTTTTAAGGCTGATTGGTTCTATGGTGAACACTTTTACTGAATTTCAATCTGTTTTCCTTCCTTCCATCCATCCATCCATCCACCCACCCACCCCTCTCTCCTCTCCTCTCTTTCCATCCCTCCATCCCTCCATCCACCCTTCTCATGCTGGCCACTGCAGTGCTTGTAGCTAGCATAAACATCCTCTTGCCCGGTTGCCATGGAAACTGGCGATTCCCTCCCGGACGATGGAGGGGGAAGAAGAAACAGTGGAATTGCTAGAAAGATGGAGGAGAAGAAAGCCCATCAACTTGCAGAGACCTTTTCAGATTTGAGGGTCAGGCTGAGTTGAGCAGTTTGGCCACAGTTCAGAAACAAAGAAGGAAGGAAGGAAAGAATCCCTGAGCAGGGTTTTTATTCTCTTCCTTTTAATTTTAGGGACTTCCTGCCCCGTGGATCGGGAATCGTCACCCGACGCCCCTTGGTTCTGCAACTGGTTAATGCCACGACGGGTATGTGAATTTGTTTCTTTTTCTTTTTTAATCCTCTCTCTTCTTCATCCTGACACAACCAAAACATTCAAGTCCACAGTCATACAAAAATGATAGAATGTGCGGGAATGGATATGCTTCCCCTAAAAATGAAAGAAAAGGAGAATTCCGATTATTACTCGATTTGGCGCAAGTGGTACAAACGGTTTGAAAATAGAGATAAGAAGCAAGAAGTGAAGATTAGCCAGAAGAGACCTTAAAAGAAATGGTGTGTAGATATGTCAATATGTAAAATATACAAATGGATGAATTAGGATAGATGGAGATAACAGTGGTTGGTTGATATGTGTAAAATAGTGTAGAAACTATAAAATAATAATGCGTGTAGATGTCAACCTGCTGTGGAAACTGCGAATACGGTTTGCATTGGTGGAAAATGCAATAAAAATTAATTTAAAAAAAAACAAAATTCCAGTCCAGGGTGGGAGAAGAGGAGATGAGAAATCCTCAGGGACGATTCACACCCTGGTCAGTACTTCTTTCCTTTCCCTACCATCAAGCAGGAGATAATAGAAGCAGAGCCAGCGAAATGAATAGTCTGAAAAATAAACTTTTATCCGTGGGCTGTCAGACTTCTGAAACACAACATAAACACCACAATTAGGTTTAATAGGATAAGACTTTGCAGGGGAGGCTCATTTCAATGTCATTGTACTCATGTTGTGCATTGACGATAAACATTTATTGTTACCTTTATTTAGGTGTACAGTGAGGTTGGCTGAGCCTCCCTTCATGCACACACACACACCCCAACACAACTCACAGTGAGGACAGAAGTCCCTAACCCAGTCTCAGTCTTATTACACTATGTGATCTTGTTGCACAATGCGCCAGCCCTGCAAGGCTGTCATACTGCGTTGACATCAAGTTATTTTCCATCCAGGAGTCTTGATGGTCCACAGGTAGAAATTGCTCTTTAGCTTGTTGTTGCAGCTGGCTATGCTTCTCTATCTCCCACCTGATGGTAAGAGAGTGAAGAAGGGCTGACACACTGGTGCGCGTCCTCCCTGAGGATTTTCCTCACTCTTCTAAGGCAGCGAGCCCTAGCAAGGTCATCTAGCCATATAAGTGCACGTAAGCGCAGGGCTGCTCGTAGAAGAGAGCAGTTACAGCAGCACGGGTGACTTGGGCGTAAGGCTTCAAGGTAATGGCCCCTCGCTCAAGAGGATAAAAGCCAGGTGTGAAGAAGCGTTCTTTGCAGAAGGCAAAGACATTCTGAAACTCAGCCTCGTGGACATTATAGTCGGTGTTTGAAAACTCTTGTAAACTTATTTCTTATCTGTGGCTTACGCCCACGATGTTTTGTGCTGTGTTCACCACCCTCTGTGGTGTTTTTCTATCCACGGCTGTCAAGCCAGCGCACCACACCGTCATGCAATATGTGAGGACGCTTTCTATTGTGGATGGGTAAAAGGAGGTCTCATCCGTTGTTGTTCCACTTTATTCTTTCGCAAGACCCTAAAGAAATGGAGTCTCTGTTGGGCCTTTCTGGCCACCTGAGTTGTGTTGGTTTTCCAGGTGAGATTTTCGCTGAGGTAGACTCCCAGGAATTTAAAGGAGGAAAATTCTCTCCACATAGCCCCCTCGATGTATAGTGAGGCGGGTTCGTCTCTCTTCTTCTGGAAGTCTAACACCATCTCCAAATGTTTGATTGATTGAGAGCACAACTGTGGGAATTACGATCTGATGTGGGATCTTCCTGTTCTGACCCAACCTGGTTCCAAGAGAGCAAACACAAGACAAAGGCAGCAGCCCCCACCTTTTAAGGTTTCATCTACGAATCCGGTTTCTTCCCAGATAAAAGGCTGCTTCCAACTAATTAGCTCCGACAAGGAAGAGCCTTGCCAAGTTGTTTTTCAAGGCTTCCAAAAACCCACAGATAAGAAATAGTTTACAAGAGTTTTCAAACACCGACTATAATGTCCACGAGGCTGAGTTTCAGAATGTCTTTGCCTTCTGCAAAGAACGCTTCTTCACACCTGGCTTTTATCCTCTTGAGCGAGGGGCCATTACCTTGAAGCCTTACGCCCAAGTCACCCGTGCTGCTGTAACTGCTCTCTTCTACGAGCAGCTCTGCGCTTACGTGCACTTGGCACAGGCTCCTCAGGAACCTCCTCATCACTGCTGCCAGCCCCCACAATCTCTGAAGGCAACTGTCCACTCCCTAATGGTCCTGGCCCCTCATCTGAGTCCTCACTCTCCTCTGTCGTCTGCACCTGCTGACGGCTAACCACAACACTTCCTCCTGTGTTACTCCAAGCCAATTTGCTTTGCCCGCAAGGAGGAGTAAGGGGGTGGTGGTGGAAATGAAGATAATTCCAGAGAGCAGAAGGTAGTTGCCTCTCTCCCAAGTTGAAAACCAACCCGAATAACGGTGGCCAAGAGAACGTCTTGATTTAAGATCTCCCCATCCATGAGTTGGGACCTCTTCTTTGTCCCTCCAGGAGTGGCCACTTTCTTTGGCCCATCGTCTTCTAACCATCTCTTTCCTGTTCCAGAATATGGCGAATTCCTGCACTGCAAAGGGAAGAAGTTCATGGACTTTGAGGAGATACGTATGGAGATCGAAAGCGAGACCGACAGAGTCACCGGCTCCAACAAGGGCATCTCCTCCGTCCCGATCAACCTGCGGGTTTATTCCCCCCATGGTGAGTCGTGGAACGTAACAAGAGCGAGGAGTTAGAACTCCAGAACCCCATTTTGGGTGATGGCGAGAAGCTCTCGGATGTTGAGAATTTGTATATAAGTCGGAAACGAAACTTAACAGGGGAAGGAACCTCCCACTGAAGCTTATCGTGATATGGCTGGCGTAGTTTTGTCATTCTTAATTTTTAATTCTTAATTCCCCATCCTACTGCCAGGCATGGGAATGTTTTATGAGTTGACCCCCATCTTGATAGCAAGTTATTCTACTTGAGGTTTCTTTCCAGCTTCACGCGGCTGTCCATCCTTGAGTCCTTCTGGGTCTTGTATCTCTTGGTTCTGACCCAGCTCCCCCAAAACACGACAAACTCTCTGACATGAACTCAAAAGTTTCCTTTATTAGGAGCCCCGGCAAAAAGTTTCTATTAATATTGTCTGCCACGTCTATTAATCTCTGCCACCTGCCTTTGATCCCCAGAGCTAGGGTGGGGGCTTCGCTAGCAGTGGTGGCTCTTCCGTCCCAAGAACCGGCCCATAGATTTCCACTGCTCTCCTCTCCTCTGCCTTCTGCGCATCCACGCAACAGGCACTGGACCCAGCAGTTTCTCCTCTTCCGCATCAGCCACCTCCAGACCTGGGGGCTGTTGACTCTCGATCTGAGGGCTGACGGACGGTCCAGGCTCTGCCTCTGTCTGTCTCTCTCTGCCACCTCCATTCTCTCTTCCCCCTCGAAATTCTCAGGTTGCCTTGATGCTGACCCTAACTCTCATGCCTCCTCCTCCTCCTCCTTTGATTCGGCTGCTGGAAGAGGCCGGCAGCTGATAGGCCACAAAACTCTTCCTCTTCTTTCTTTAGTCCTAAGCCTGACCTTAGTGGATCTTCCTGGGATGACCAAGGTTCCAGTTGGAGACCAGCCAGTAGACATCGAGTTCCAGATCCGTGACATGTTGATGCAGTTTGTCACCAAAGAAAACTGCCTTATCCTTGCGGTCTCTCCAGCCAACAGCGATCTGGCCAACTCCGATGCTCTTAAGATTGCCAAAGAAGTTGACCCTCAAGGTAAGGCCCATGTTAGGTTTTTGGCCTTGGGGGGTGGGGTCTGTCGCAGTGGTAGGATTCAATTTTTTTTACTACTGGTTCTGTGGGCGTGGCTTGGTGGGCGTGGCAGGGGAAAGATACTGTAAAATCTCCAGTCAGAGGTGGCATTGGCCGGTTCTCCAAACTACTCAACATTTCCGCTGCCGGTTCTCCAGAACTGGTCAGAACCTGCTGAATACCACCTCTAGTCTGTCGGTTTCTGCAAACCAGTTTCTTTTTGTCTCCTGAATTATGGATGGTTACAAAGGGATCCAGAAACAGGAAGAAAAGAGGTTATATTCAAATGTATTAATTTATCAGATTTATGTATCTCGTATAAAGTCGTACCTTTGGAATACTTTTTTAAAAATACTTTATTAAATAAATTTATATACATACATTAAAATCAAAACATTCCATTTATCGCAACACGAGCAAATACAGTGTTCACTCTAATTGACAATTCTCTCATTGTATCAAATATTGATAAACTCAGATGTCATACTAAATTTCATTCAAATTATTTATCACAATTAAATTTACATATAATTTTATGAATTTCCATCATACCCTTTTATTTGACTTTTTATTCCTTTCTTGTCTATCTTCTAGCCAACTGTACCATAAGTTCCAAATTTCATAGTAGAACAGAATCCTTTTTATTAATATGGGAGACATTTTATCAATGGCTAGAAAATAGAAGCAGAAGTTAGAAACTTAAAATTGAAAAGAATGTTTAATTAAATAACGTAAGATGAAGTAACGTAAGATTAGTAATATTACTACTAATATGTTTGGATGATAATTGTTATAAAGAGCATCATTAAAATGTTTGTTATCATTATTCAAAATCCAGACAACACCCTGTCAATGTGAATATTGAGGTTTTGTGTCCACCAAAAATGTATAATGTAAAAAAAAAGGTGTAAATAATTTTTTTAAAAAAAGTTATCTGCTTGTGACCCAACAGGCCAACGTACCATTGGGGTCATCACCAAATTGGACCTCATGGATGAAGGAACTGATGCCCGAGATGTTCTGGAGAACAAGCTGCTTCCATTAAGGAGAGGTAAAGGTCCTTGCCTTGTTATCTTCTAAAAAATAAATTTTATTAATTTTACCATTAAAATCAGATCTACAATACATACACAAAAAAACAAGGCCTTGACAAGGCCAAGAAAAGAAAGAAAGAGAGAGATGTAAAAAGAAAGAAAAAGGGAAGAAAAGAGAAAGAGAAATGAAAAAGAAACATTTAAAAAAAACAATATCCTTTTTGACAGTCCTCAATATATTACAACAATTGGAACCCCTGGTATAACTGGTTAATTCAAAGATAGACTGTTTATAAGAGAAACTTAGTTGAGGGCAATTTAAGTATAGATACCGATAAGATGTGCATATATGATACAACTTAAGAAGAATAGATCTTACAGACTGCCTTGTTATCTTCACAAGCCTTGCTTTCTTTTGAAGTCCATCTTTGACCAGCCATCTCAACGACGCTATCACGCTTCACGGGGAGATGTTTCTCCTTGGCTTGAGGAAAGATCTAGATCCGTGAGGGCGAAACTGTGACACGCGTGCCAGAGATGGCACACAGAGCCCTCTCGGTGGGCACGCGCACCATCGCCGGCTGCTGTCTTCTGGTTTCTGGCGCACACCTGCGCTCCAGCCAGCTGGTTTTCGTGGGCTCCAGAGCGCTGGAAAATGGCCCGAAAATGGCCAAAAAACCCAGGCCGTTTTTAGGCTATTGTCAACTAAAAAGATACGCCTTTGGTCTTTTTAAGCTGCCAGCAGAAAAGGAATGGGAGAAAACAGTGCATTCCTCAAGTGCCTAGATAATCACCCTGGCAGCCCAGGGTACAGCCAGTAATATGGGATGAAAAATACTTTTTTGGAGGGGGGAGTAATGATGTTGTAATGGTAATGTAGACCTTCTGGGATATAGGAATCTCAGAAGGTCAGCATTGCCATTACAACCTCAATACAGGTGGTCCTCGGCTTATGACCCAATCGAGATCAACATTTCTGTCACTAAGTGAGACATCTGTTCAAAGAGTTTTGCCCCATTGGAAGGCTTTTCTTTGCCCCAGTTGTTAAGTGAGTAGCACGGTTGTTGAGTGAATCTGGCTTCCCCGTGGACTTCGCTTATCAGGTCGCAGAAGCTGATCATGTGACCTTGGGACACTGCGCCATAAATATGAGTCCGTTGCCGAGCCTCTGAATTTTAATCACGTGACCCCTTGAGATGCTGCAACGGTCATAAGTGTGAAAAACGGTTGTAAGTCCCTTTTTAAAAAATGATGTTCTAACTTCAAACGGCCACAAAAGGTACTGTTGTAAGTTGAGAACCATCGGGGGGGGGGGGGGGGGGGAAATGGCTTTATCCAAGATAAAGACATTCCTGCAATTACAACTCTACAATCCTTATAGTATTATCCTTATAGTAAAATCTGGGTTAGTAATATCACAAAAATATCAAGGAAAAATACCTCATTGGAATGATCTGATTAAAAACCTTTGACTTCAACGCCGCACTTCTGTTCAATTTCTCTGCCAAATCTTGCTGAAAACTTTCTTTTGCTATTCTTCCTCCCAAAAACCATAATTCCAGCTTGTAAAAAATCAGGCCAGATTCCAACGAGAATTGACTCCCAACAAGCTTGTCAAATTCCTTATGCCTATTTCTCTCTCTCTGTATATATAAAAGACGGATAGTTAAGTAATTTCTTCTTAAATGTCTCGATTCTTCTATACCGCCAATTTCTAGGAATCTGGGAATTCTTTGATTAGCATCCTGTTGTTTTGAGGAAGTGGGGGGGAAAAAAGCCATGTTCTCATTTTCCCTGATAGAATTAAAGTTGAGGGAAGGTAGCAGAATTTCCTGGATGGCTTCTATCTTCATTCTTTGATAGATGCTAACAGGAAGGAAATGATTTGCCGAGGCATCCTGTCCATTGTTAAAGAGGGGAAATACTCAACCATTGTGTGTGGGGCCTCAAATTCCAGTTTCAAACACTCCCCTTTTCTGCCCAGCCTTCCTGCTGCTAGGGTTCATACAACCTTAGCACCCAATTTATTCTGATTTATTGGGTTTAGGCAAACTTGGGACCGTCCCAAAGATGTTGTACTTTTTTACTGGAGCGTTGAGAACATGACATCTTAAAAAATGCTGGAGAGATTCAAACTTGAGCAAAATGAGCTGCGAAATAAATTTGATCAACAGAGCACTCTCGGCATTGACAAAATCCCCGTTGGTCAATTGCAGAAGGCAGTTTTGTTTGGAACAGATTACATCCTGAGAGGAGATCTTTAATCCCGTTAAATATCCACATCTGTCTATCCCACATCTTCAAGAAAGATACAATAGGTGGTCATAAATACCAGATCCCGTCTGAACATCTAGCTGAGTGTGATGAACAATCATTTGATATCTATGGAGATTCTCAGTCCTCCAGGTCATGGTTGTCCCAAAGGTGTTTTTTCAAGAGGC